AAATTATTAGCGTTAAAGTTTTTATGTTTTTTAATCGCACAAAAATTCGTATATATTTTCGAATTAATTCACGAACAAAATACTGAGTTTAATTGTAAGTAAAATTTTTCGCATTTAGAATTCAAGTCCTTAGAACTGTTTTAATTGTTGCGATTACATTAAACCAAAGTATGCGAATTTATTTAGGTAATTGCATTTGATCGATACAGCCGGGACACACTGCTTGCAGAAGCAGTTTACTCATTAAAGGATGCAGATTTACTACAGAAAGACTTGGTGAAGGTAGAATTAAAATTAGGAAGTCGGGGCGAAGTAAGCGATCAGGATCGTGGCCAGGTATTACTATCACTATGTTATCAGCCAAGCACTCACCGAATGACAATGGTTTTGATCAAAGCAAAAGGTTTACCAAAATTGGATATTACTGGAATGGCAGGTACTGCTTATACTTTTAGCTTAACCTCAATTTAAATAATTTTCAATTTCCATCAAAAGGAAAAAGAAATCAGCGTCAAGCATTTAAATAGTTGATATTTATGCATCTACCTACAGCTATTAACCTAGATCTATCATCGTTAAACTTAACTTATTTACTCTTTGGTAAGTATTACAAATCATGTTGCTAATGAAATGAAATACAACTACTATCAGTCATGGTCAAGAAAATTCACCAAATTAAGTCTTGTTTTCCAGTTAATGCCTATTCTCTTTATTGCAATAAATTTCATTGCATTGTAATAAAATGTACCTGTTATTTGCTATTATTTAGAATATTTCAGATCCTTATATCAAAATTTACTTGCTATACAAAGGGCAACGGATTTCCAAGAGAAAAAGTCACGTGAAGAAACGTACACTCTCACCAGTGTACAATGAATCATATGTTTTCGAGTTGCCATGCACTGATGAGGATGACTTGAATAATGTTGAATTTGAAATTTATGCCATGGATTGGGATCGTTTAACAAAAAATGAGGTTATTTTTGTAGCATGAGAATATTTATAACATTTACAGAAGCATCAAATCAATACTTCTCACTCTCTTTATTATCATTTGACAATTTTATCCATCTACTAAAGAGCGCAATAAATTATCAAAAGTATAGCATAAATGGTACTGCAGTCTTTTAAATTGGTAAAAAGTCGATCCAACGCTCAAAAAATAAAAACAACGGTTCTAGTGAAATTCGTCATCAAGTCTGAAATAAAATTCATCACACGTATGTTAGATTAAGTGTTGAAGATTATTTTTTATAGGTTATGGGCAAATGTAAAATTGGTCCTGATGATGAACACTGGCTTCAAGTACGAAATCATCCACGACGCCAAATTGCCGAATGGCATCAACTGTCTTTATAAAAGGAAAAACAGAGACATTGCAATATGAAACTTAATATTTTGTTGTTTCATATCTATATTAGAAATTTTACGATGTTTAATTTCTTCGATTGCGTCAAAATAACTTTACTAAAAAGTCTTAATGACAAATGACAAGAACGATCATTCGCAGAAGCAATACGGGAAATTCTTAATACCTGCACATTATCAAACTTGCTAAACTTCTGACTTAATCTTGAACTATGAAAGAATTTGTAAGATTAAGACACAAGTTTTTTTATGAAATTTATTAATTTTTTGACAGATTTAATTTCACAAGGTACAGCATAAAGCTCAATCGGCATTATTCAATGATGCGATTATTAAGCATATTATCATATTCTTTTAACTTACAACGTGTTACACGAGCACAAAGTACTACACTGTTCAAGAACTTTCCACTTTTGCTAAGCATAAAGTAGCATGCGGTCCTCCAAAACCAAAAGAGTTCACCAAAGCTACTTTACATCCTTGCCACCTCTTTGATTTTCTTAGAAAATACAAATTTTCATCAATTTCTGTTTGTTCCAAACCAGCGTTTCCCACTAATTTGCCTTCCTTGACACAAATAGCTACTACGGCTGTCTCAATAGCACCAGCTGCAGCTAAGGTATGCCCTATATGGCCTAAAGTTTGAAAACTCAGTAAAGTATCTGATTGCAAATTACAGAATTAAGGATGGTTGCAAATATATCTTTCTACAGACAAAATCAAAATTTAGTACATATATCTAGACAAAATTTAAGAAAATCAATAAATAAAGAAATCAATAACCTTTAATTGAAGAAACTGAAGTACCAGGAAGAAGACGCGCAATAGCTCGAGCTTCAGAATAATCTCCAAGTAGTGTGGAAGTAGCATGGGCATTTACATATGTAACATTGTGAGCATCAATGCATGAGTCAGTTAAACATCGTTGCATACTTAAAAAGGCACCACGACCATCTTCTGTAGGAGTTGTTAGATGATAAGCATCACCAGCAGTACCTTTAAATATCAAATGAGTAATAAAGTTTAAAATAATAACGAATATTAAAGAAATTTTTTAAATTACGAGGTAACAACTTACTAAATGATATCCCACTTTAAAATAAATTGAAAGAAAATTGCAGCCTAACTAAAAAGGTCGAAAAAGGAATTGTCATATTTGTATGGAATTTGATACAAGTCAGTAATATTGTATTGTAACTGACATTATGAAAATAAACACACCATATCCTAAAACTTCAGCATAAATGTTTGCTTTTCGCTTACGCGCTTCGTCCAATTCTTCTAAAATCACAAGAGCAGCACCTTCACTTAATACAAATCCATCACGTTTTCTATCAAAAGGACGTGAACATTTTTTTGTTAGTGCTCTGAATTTCAAATATTTGAAAGCTGAAGTAAAATTTACAAAATTAAGGTGGTTGTTTCAAAGACTATCACAGAAATATTAAAAATTTCCACAATGCTGAACCCATCAGACGCTCATTTTCGCTTGTTTCTGAACAAAAGCTAAAACACAACAATAGAAGTGTCTTAAATGATTGCAAAATTTTTAAATAGTGTTGCTAGAATTGCAAAAACTAAAAATTGGTTACTTACAAATACAAAAAACGGTAACAATGAAACTGAAACCAGGAAAAAGACGCCCAATACCCGTGATTCAGAATAATCTCTAGTTATGTGAAAGTCACGTAGATATTTACAAATGTAACATTGTGGGCATCAATATATTGTGCAAAGTGTTAATAGATTACGAAAAACTTTGATTTCTATTGTGCAAATCAGTTAAATAATATAAAATGCAAAAAGTCTGGAAAATGATAACTTGAGGTTATATATGTAATAGATTACTTTTAACATACAAAATAATTTATGACAATTATGGAAAGGTTCAAGAATGCAAACAAGCAACTAAATGCAATAAATAAACAAACTATTGATCGACGAAATACATACCTCATTTGTTTGAATCCAACTACCGCTATATTATTTAGGCATGATTCTGTTGCACCAGCAAGCATTCGCTTCGCTCGACCCATCTTAATGAATGTTGCTGAATCTCCTATAGCATGTAAACCCGTCGCACATGCAGTACATGAACTTAGTTGTGGTCCACGCATACCAAATCTTGATGGATTCAACTACATAAATAAAACTTCGAAATGATTTAATACTTGATAATTTTACATATTTCAAAATGAGACATACTTTATGCTAACGTGACCAGCAGGAATATTCGTCAATACTCGAGATATAAAAAATGGCGTTACCCGGCGTCCTTTGTCTTCCTCAATCAATTTACCTACTTCATAAATTAATTCTAAATCAGCAATACCCATTCCAATATTAACGCCTGTTTCTTCCATGTGCCATTCTCTCAAGTCAGCATCTTTTATAGCTTCTTTTGCTGCAGTTACAGCGAGCAAACTCCCTGAAATTGCATAAACTTCTTGACTAATATCAAAGTGAAATTCTGTATCTGTAAAATCAACCTCAATCACAAGAACTTAATTCTTCAACTTTGTTACTTGTCACTTTGGAATCATGTAGCAATGATTCTAAAGTGACAAGTAACAAAGTTGAAGTCAATAACAATACGCAAAAAACCTTTTTTTGCACATACCTCTACTCATCTGTTTCAACTGTCGAGGCGTCCATGAAGTTAAATCAAGGCTATTTTCCCCACTTTCTGGTACTTTACCAACAATAGTTTGAAGTTTTTCATCATTAACTAATGCAACATTACCTGCCAACAAATTATCAAACAAAATTCGCCTTCCAACCCCAAATGGACTAACTATACCTATACCAGTTATTACTACTCGTTTCATGAAATCTGAAAAGCATCATCATCTGTAAGATCGCTTAGACTTTTTAAAATGAAGGAAAACAGTAATGTGCTTTAACGAAATTATGGCGATTCTGATTGCGCATTGGTATAGGCTACAAACAGAAGTAACAAATGCAAATATAAGAAATCTCTTTTTCAATACTCTCTTCTTAAACAATTAGAATAGTATTCCTAAATCTTGTGTTTTAAAAATTTTCGACATCTGAATTAAGACTCAACTCTTCACTAACTCTGCAAAAATAAGATTCGGGCAATATTTAGTTTATTGTGAAACTTTAGTGCAAAAATACAACAATGTAACAAAAATTTTTATATTAGTTCACAACATGAAATTAAAAGCAAATTACCATATCAGTTGGTAAGCATTAAAGTGTCAGATCAGAACTTATCAAACAAATCATAACAATATCATTCTCATAATGACAATATCATTCTTATACAAAAATATTTCTGAATTCAATCTTTAACATTGAGTATTCAGTTAAATATTCAGCTACGAAGTATGAAATTGAACTATGATATTGAAATACAACAATCTTGTCAAAAACTGCTTCTTTTTTTCCAACAATATAATTATATCATCTTTAAAATTAGCTCGGCAAGTTTTTCATACTCCTTTGCTAGAACAGAATCGTGATATTTGCTGAAATAATCTTCTCCAACATCGACGCATTCAGCCATACGAACATCAAATGGTAATGAAGCAAGTAAGGGGACGGATAATTCATTACACATCGCTGTCGCACCACCAGTCGTATTAGGGAACAGTTGAGAAACATTGGAACAACAAGGGCACGTAAATGAAGACATATTTTCCACAACTCCAATTACATTAATTTTTGTTTTTCGACAAAAATTTATCTGAAAAAAAGTTAAAAATTCAATAGTAGTAATAAATCCGAAACACAAATAAATGTTTATACTTATAATCAATATAATATCTTGAAAAAAATTTTTCGTAGATAAAAAAGAAACCTAGCACTTACTTCTTTACGAACGTCTAGTAACGACAGTTCTTGTGGTGTGGTTACAACGACAGCACCGTCTACTGAACCAGCTTGTAGAAGAAACTGAACAATAGAAATATGCTCATCTGATGTTCCGGGCGGTGTGTCAATTAATAAATAATCTAGACTTCCCCAATCCACATCCTAAATTCATAATTTAATATTAAATAAAAATAATATCTTCATCATGTCCATCAAACCAATGCTTTCTTCTCATTTACAAATTTGTTATGATGAAAAAGCTGGAGAAACGGACTTTGCTATTTTCCCTTAAACTGATAACAAAGGTACATGGCAAGAATTTCTAACATCTATAAATCTTTTTAAACGATTAGTTTAAAACCAAAGAAAGTTAGACTGTTCATTCTTATAATCAATATAATGAAAACGCAAAGTTCCACAGAACCTGAAGAGAACTGCATGTATACACAACTAAATTTTTACCAAACAAATTTGAGCATACGAATATTGACCGGATCGAACTTCAAATGGTTTAGAAGTAAGAAACAATTATTATGTCTTTCTGAATAACAAAAATTCTGATTCAAGAGTATTAAAATATGCAAAGTGTACAAACGTCACTCGCTAAATAAAAAATTTGAGAAACAACCACAATCGCCAACCAGAGTAATGAATAACAAACTTTTAAAAATTGTTTTATCAATGCATTTTTGCGTGCTCCGCGCCAAATTACCGCTTCACTTCTGCTTGGCAAAAGAAATGCAATGCTCATTACTACCATATTATCCTTCACAAGTATTGGACACCAACCATCACCACTTTCATGTACACTTTCATTTTCAACACCCAGCATTCGAGCTTGCGATGGTCCACAAATATCCACATCCAATAATCCAACCTTTGAAAATGTACCACTTTATTTTTTACCTCAGTTCAGCAATATAATAACCATCAAAATATAATGGCTACAAAACTGCTACAATTCCATGAGAAAAAAATAATAAAATGAAAAAACTGTTCCAATGGACTACACTACTTGCACTGTGTCATCTGCTGCCAATGCCCTTGCTAAATTTGTAGCCAAAGAACTTTTCCCAACACCGCCTTTACCAGAAAGTATCAGAATTTTATGCTTCACACTCTGTAAGCGATTTGCTATTTCTTGAAGGTCTGGATCCACTTTCCTCGCTTCCCCAGATGCACACAAAGCCTGATTCGGGCACCCTTTGCACGAATCTACCTAAAATAATTTCATTCAAATGTGCTCAAGTAAACATGAAATTTTCTCAATACAGGTCTCATTTCATGGTGCTATGAGAAAAAGCCACTTTATATACGAACAGAAGTCTTATTGTGAGAAATCCACAGGAATAAGATAATTGATATTAATTACACAAATTCAGACACCAAAATACCCAGTAAAACACCAACTAGCCTTAGAGTAACCAACACTAGAAATTCATTGTCTATATTTTAAAATGCCGATGGTTGAGCAAAATATTATAACAACAATTTAGGTGAATAATAATACAATTCATTACACCTTGATCTTTGCCAATAGGCAAGAAGCCATTGAGCACAAAACAAACCTTCCCAGCTTCTTCAGAACTTGCACCTGGACAATTTTCATTGGCATTTTCTGGTATATCACTCATTGCTTCTCAAATCACGGGAAAATAAGAGTTTAACAGAAATCAGCTTTACAAGACGCAGTTTAACTGCAACAAAAAAATTATAATACTACGAATATTTCACAAAAACACAAAAACCACACACATTGCTGACGAGAATTATTCTTCAAAATGTACTTGAATGTTCATTTTGCGTTTATTTTGAAGTCTGATTGCGAAACTTCGAAAATGAAAATGCTTTACAATTAGTCTGATATAAGCAACAGCATCAGAACCATAACTAGGAAGAAACAAAATTAATTTATTATGAAAATCTGAACAAAAATAATTTTCACTTAACATTCAATAGCATCAAATATAACTTCAATAAAGCAAAATAATCTTTACAATTGTCTGTTACATATGTACATAATGAGAACATACTCTTGATATTAATTTCCATTTTCTAATTTTTTCAAAATATATTAACAGCTGATTATAGAACGACTTAACTTCCCAGCGATTTCCAGCCTTCAGACTAATACACTCTATGATTATTTGTTTTTGACTTCATGAACAAAAAATGTTAATATTTGCTTCAAGTCTTTTGAAAAGGTGTTCGAAAAAATAAATGCACATTTTTTGCTTTTGTAGGTCCTAAACCGGGACATAACAGCAACCTATCAACATCTGCATTAGCTATTTTTTGAATGCTTCCAAAAGTAGCAATTAAACGATGCGCGTCGGACGTTGTCAGTGATCGAATAACAGTTAGAAATTTTACGGCCTGAAAAAGAATAGATTTTTTTATAAGGTAAAAAAATATCTAAACCAGCAATTGTTAATCGTCATATATACATTTTTCGTTTTCGAAAATAAGACTACAGTTTTCTATATTAAGCAGAGATGCATATGGAAAATTAATCTTCGCAGTATTTTTTCGCAATCATTAAAATGCAGATTTTAAAGTCTTTATTGAAATAAATAAATTTACATGATAATAATGAAAGATTACAGGACGCAACGTTATCTTTAAATTAACTCTTTAAATTCTTGCTAGTTATCAACCTGATTGAATTCAGCGTCATTATCACTTTGTAAGCCAAGTCTTTTATTTTTCCGCTCCTGCATAGCACTAACTGCACTTTGTTCATTTTTGTTCCTCGATATATGCAAATTTTCCAAATACTCAGCTGCTTCTTCAGCGGAATAGCAAAGTATGAGTGTCCAACCAGTTCGATAACAAAAAAGATTTAGTTCACGTAAAATATGACGAGGATCCACGTTCACGAGGACTAATAAGACCTGAAAATAAGTCTTCGACTCTCAGAAGAAAAAATAAATTGGTAAAATTTATAACTGCTCTTAAAAACATTGGCTAAGTACACGAAAATCGAAATACGTTAACTTTATTTTTAAATAAAGACCCATAAAAATTGATCAGAATCATACATTAAGATTTAACGTCAATTACACTACCTTAATAGCATAGCCAGCGCCATCACTATTCATACGTGTTTCGATATATTCTGGCTGCAGTTTATGCCATTTTAGACTTAAATACAAGATACCCATTTCTTTGCCGGCTTCAAAATCAGCCTAAAATTAAATTTTTTCTATATCAAGACACTTCCAATCTTAACCTAACTTTATCATCGCACTGGACAAATCGAAACCACGAAATTAAGAACAAAACCTTTATTTCCGCCCACTCAAATGGTACATTACGCAAATATTTGAGAATTGGATTCCCTTCTTGACGTTTCCTGTTTATTACTAATTTTGAACTTGACTGAGCTGATCCTGCAAAGACTTATTCGCATATAGTTTATGTGAAACTCAAATTTAGCACAACTTTTATGTACAATAATATAAAACAACATCCAACAGTACAAACCTGTCTGATTCGACGTCATTTCTGTTGTTATCTACAAAAATATCAATCAAGCATGAAAAACAAACTTTCATAGCGCACGTATACCGTTAGATCCCAGCAATATACACACTACTTGAGACACAGGAATGTTGTGAGAGATAAAATCGTACGGTTTGATGATCAAACAACAATAACAAACTTTACTGCTGAATGAAAAATTCAAATAAAAAACGCAATTGCACGAATACCATAAGCATAAATCGGTGAGATGAATATCACATAAAGATATCTTGAGGAAAGACAAATGAAGTAATCAACGAACATGAGATATAAAAATACATAAAAATCACATATGCACCACAGTTCTGAAGAAAATTATGAAAAATAAGATTACAGAAATATTTAATTACATATAATATTCATAGCATCATTAGAAAATTCTAGCAACTACAAATATTTTTAGAATATTTGTCAAATTAATTCTTTACATAAGATACGACCTCATTCAATGATTCTTCTAAGCCGCACCAAAATCATTTATCCATTTTTCATATTTCTGTACATCAGCATAAGATACAGATGGTGACGTGTTCTGTATAGCTTGTAAAAAATCATTAGACGTGATTGGTAAATCAACCTCCTCCTGTGTCAATGCTTTAATTTCTTCTGCTGTGAGGTTAGCAATACGAACACGCATACTCATCATTGCTGCTTCACGACAGACATTTGTAATATCTGCTCCAGAATAACCATCAAGTAAGTCAGCAACCTTCAAATATTGTGTTTAGCATAATAGCAAGAGTATAAAACATTGTAATTAACAATGATTAATAACGGGTCCAAAATGGTCATAATGTAATCATCCATAACTCTGTGAGAATCATCACTAATTATAGAATTCCAAATTCACTCATTTAAATAATTACGATATATTGACAAATATGAGAAGCACTTACTGCTTCTAAATCAACTTCATCACTGATGGAAACTTCAGCTAAGGAAAGCCTCAACAACTGATGCCTATTAGTCTTATCTGGCAGTGGAATATATATTCGTTTTTCAAGACGTCTTCTCAGTGCCTCATCCAGATCCCATGGAAAATTCGTAGCAGCCAACACAAGAACTCGAGAGATATCAGGTGAGCAACCTGAAGACCACTTTGGAAACGTATAAAAACTTTACATAAAGTTTTAATCGTTTAATTTCTAATTTATTCCAAGAAAGAATATCCATTCATTTAGATATAAAATGAACGAATATTAACAGAATGAGATATAATTTTAAAAAGATTTTTTAAAACAATAACAATAGAAAACTACCATCCATTTGAGTTAAAAGTTCCGACTTAACACGGCGTGAAGCTTCGTGTTCGCTATCAGCACCTCTTCTGCTACATAAGCTGTCAATTTCATCAATAAATATAGTTGATGGGGAATGAAAGCGAGCCTAAATTATACAAAAAATTTTGTTGGAATAAATAATTTCTGAAAAAGTGAATTGAAAAAATCTTTATGACACCAATTCAAACCATTTTGAAAAGTAACTGCACAAGCTTTTCAGAGTCACCACGATATTTGGAAGTTAGAGTAGCGGACGACACACAAAAAAATGTTGTTTGGCTTTCTGTGGCAACAGCTTTTGCAAGCATAGTTTTACCGGTTCCTGGTGGACCTACCATACATACACCTCGCCAAGGACGTCGTATGCCCTAAAGTTCATTTGATAAGGTAAATTTTTTCAGATATTAAGTTTCAGTAATAATAAGAAAAACATAAACCTTAAAAAAATTCGGCATAACTGATGGCAATATCACTGCTTCTTTGAGCAATTTCTTAGCTTCATCCAAACCAGCAATGTCATCCCAATGAACATCAGGTCGTTTTTGCATAATATCTCGTTCAATAATTTCCACTAATTCTTTGTCATATCCTTTATCATCAAATACTTTTTCATTTCCTACTTTTTCCTCAAAAAATACGACACTGGAGTCTTCAAAAAGTCTAGCTTTATATCACTTTTGTTTTAAAAGTTAAAATTAATAGTCAATATAGAAATTCTTACTTTGGAGGCATTGTCATCTTCATCTTTGGATGTTGCTTCTAGTTGTTCACCCACAGATGAATGCGCCGATGAGTTAGTTTTTTTCGGTATACCACGGGCATTTAAATTACTAGAAGATTTGCTTACTGACGTTTTTTTCGATTTCGCATCAAAACGAGAAGCGATTTGCTTTCTGAAAGTGGGTCTTGTGTTTGAAACAGCTGATGTTTTCTTCATCGGTAATGATGGTACGGGCCAAACATCAGGATCACTTGGAGGTGCATCAACAGGTGATGGAACGGTTGCTGCACCAGCCATCTGTCGAATTTGTGAAACAGTATCTGCGATAGCAGTCATCTGTTCCACATTCAATTTCAGCGACAGTTTCAGCTGTAGTTAATTTAAAGCAATGAATAGTCTAAATAAATAAGTTAAGAATTAGGTATTAATCACACTCAGCTTCAGCTCAAAGCTTAAACCAAATTAACAGTGGGCATTAATTTATTAGCTGCATCAATTATTATTTCAAAGAAAATTTATAGAATCCTTATAGTTAGATGATATCTTACTTTAAGCAATAATTCCTTTTCTGCATCATCACTTGAAATACGATTCAAAGTGCGTTCAACCTGAGAAAGTGCGTTGCGTAGAAACAACGACGACTGATCATATTTACGATGCAATGCTGCGTATTTCGCTGCTTTAATGCTATCCGACATTTCACGATCCATACCCTTCACTTTTCTTAAGTTACTTTCATAAAGTTAATGAGAGATTACAGCAAACTGCGAACTACAATATTGAACAAGAACGTAAATTGCAACAATTTAAATTAACCGACATGTGCAACAGAAAGAGCAGGAAATCATGCGGGTCACATGTGAAACTTTCGATTTCAACCTTATACTTTTCATCGCAATTTTGAACCCACTTCTTTGACATTCCTTTTATTTTTTTCCATTTCGAACCTAACACTCACCAATTAAAACTTGCAGTTATGTCGACTTTTTTAGTCTCCATTTCGACCATCTGTGAGCTGATTTTTCGTGCTGATTGGTGGAATATTATGTGATTAACTTGACTGATCTCAGAACACTTTCATAAAAATAAGATTATATGGTGGCAATTTGCTGAAAATGCTATATATAGTATGTTTTTATTTTTCTTCTTACAATTGGGAAACTAGCATGCTTTATTCTTGTCTAGTTAACACTCGAACTCATAGAAGCTTAAATTTTACGCTAGAGATTCTTTCAAGTACGCTCAATCTTTGTTCTAAAATACAAGATCATGTGAATTTCAATTTGAACAATAGTTCAAAGGTTGAGACATAGTGGCGCAATATAATCAATAAAAATTAAAGGGACAATTCCGCCTCATTCTTGGAGTTAAAAAGCGGCTATGAACTTAAATTCTCAAATACTGTCACTAATTTTATATTTATTACTAGTAGTACTGTTGACAATTTTGGCTATTTTCGGCATAATTATTGCAGTTAATAACTATTCTAGTATCGAATAACGTAACGATGTAAATATAAAAACAAAATGCGAAAACACGTATGCGCGTGTAACATTTCAATTGTGATGTTTTTGTTTTTTGAGCAGTTGTTCGTATTATCTGGATGTATTTATATTTTTGATCAATTTAACGTCAACATAAAAAGCAAACTGATTATAGAAGAAGTAACACAGATTATGTGACGTGATGGCAGAAGTGCTAGAGAATGTCAGTATATACTCGTTTATGATTTGTCATTCACGTTATATCACGTCACATAACAGCATAAAACCATCATCATTATTATCAGTATTATTATTATTATCATTTTAGTGTCAATATTTATTATTATTATTATTATTATTATCAGTATTTATTTATTAGTATTATTATTATTATTAGTAATAAACGTGAATGAGGCAAGTAAAAAGAGAGAAAGAGAGAGTTAGACAAATGCAGTAATATACTACGAACAACTAATATTTGATATGGCAGTGAAGTGAATAAATACATTGACGATTTAATGGATAGTTTAGGGAAGCGAAAAATAGAATGAAGAAATGAAGGAAGTGAAAAAGAAGCAAAGCAAACGAGCAAACAACTGCTTTGTTGAGATAGCAAAAGACGCACGTGTGAATGCATGCATTGCTAGGCCTTACTTTAGGCCACTTTGTGCCCACAGTAATAGCAATTGGCCAGCAATTGGGCAAAAAAGAATGCAAAAAATTAGTAACAAACTTACTTACTTACTTGCTTACATAATCATTCATTCTCTCACTACGTTTTTTTTTGCATCACTCGTTAGGCCTTATTTCATTTAGGTCTGCATTACTGCTTCTGTTCCAATCAGTCAACAATTCTTTGATATACACAAACACTAAAAAATACACACAAATTCACATAACATGACATGTTCATATATACACACGTACATACTCATCGATTCATTTTCACATGCATTTGATTCATTCATTTACTCAATCATTCATTCACTCATTCATTCATTCATTCACTCATTCATCCACTCATTCATTCATTCATTCATTCATTCATTCACTAATTCATTCATTCATATATTTACGAAAGTATTCACCTTGCTAACTTACTAACTTCTTATTCTTCCTTACTAAACTATTGTTTTCTGTTATGCTTGCATGCATCTGTCTAACTTTGCTCAGTCATTTTTACGCGTGTGCTTGCCTTATGCTAAGTTATTTATTCACTAAAGAATGAAAAAGTGAAAATATGAGCTGAACAGAGAGAAGAAAATGGCATTTTCGCCTTTGCAATGCCTTACTCGTAATCACCTGCAGTCTTGCTAGCGTTGGCAGTAATGATCATTCTATTCTAGTCACTGCTTATTTCGCTAATAACTTGAAACACGTGATATTCAAACAAGTATTATGTAACTGACTCATTACAAATAGTTGAACTTACTTAAGAAATTACAATTGGTAATAGCTTACACAATTATTCGAAGATGTCAGTTATAATTACTTTACTAACTAACATTAGCACTTCTATTTACGTTAGTTTTACCAGTAACTGTTGACGTAACTGCGTACTATTAAAACTAATTTTCATCTATATGAATTACCAACATTAGTAATCACTGACGTGACTAGCAAACTAATATTGGCAATGGTTTACTCAAATGTTTACCAATTAACAATCAGTTAGTTTACTTACGTAAAATGACAGATGGAAAATAGTAGTCATTCTGTTAGTAATTAAGATTTTATTTGATTTCTGGATATGTAGATTAGATCATTACAAACTATGTTATTCGGTACTTTCCTCTCCCAACGTTCATCGTTGACTTGCGCCACCACACCATCCTTTCCTTCCTCTACTTTCATGAAGCTTAACAACAAAGTGTGTCCGTCTCCCATCTCAGTTAATATTTTCTATGAACTGTTGACATTTAATACGGCCTGTGAAAACAGTGGAAAGCCAAATCATTTCTCACGTATTAATACTGCAAACGTGTTTATTTTTTAAAATATTTCGTCAGTATTTATTTGTTTCTTTTTTTATTTCTTCTCGTTGTGTTTCAGATTGTGTATACTCTGCTATTTGCTATTTGTTTTGGGTTCATTTTTTGATCATTTATTACTGATTAAAATATCAATTGTTTACTTTTTATTACATTAAACTTTATACAAATGGGCATAAAAAGCTCAAAACCGAAACTCTCTAAAGAAGATCTTGATTTTTTGAAAAAGAATACAAGCTTCACGGAGGAACAAATCAAAGAGTGGTACAAAGGTTTTGTGGTATGTTTTACTTTCTGCTTTTTTCATTGATCAGTTTTTTTGGTATATTTTTTTGAAAGCCAAACAACAAATATTTTTTCTGTTCAAATAATAAAATTAATTTTTGTAATGTTAGCATAATGTTTTTATTTAAAATAATTTATTTAGTTTATAAATAAATTTGTTATTTGTGGCAAAAAAATTTTTTTTTTCATATTTGACTGTCAGCTTTGCTTAGGTTCGTAGCTAATGTTTCGTAATGTATTTCTGAGCATAATTGGTTATTGCAAATATAATTTAACTTTTGTATTTGACAAATGTACAAAAATTAATAGGAAAATTGAATTTATAAAAGTATTTAGTATTTAGGATTGCAACTTTTTTTTAAAAAAGTTTTCTAAAGTGATAGTTTCAATTTTTTAAACAAAACATTTTAAAGATGTTTTTGTAAAGATGTTATTTTAAGCTTTGACGTTCAAACTAGCAATTGAATTTCATTCTAATCAAAGAATTAAAAGTATTCTTTTTTTTATCTTCACCATCTTTTACTGATATATTTTAATTATTTTAATGTTTTGTTATTTGATTACTAAACAGTGTATCAAATTAAAACAAATGCTGAATTTGCTCAATTAACTTTTATTATATCAATTAGTAAAACATATCCGATTTGCTTTACACATAATTGATATATTCATGCATTCATTGCAAAACATTTTACTACAATTATTGCGAATGTATAATTATCACATAATAAGAAGGTAAATATTTGTTTCAGCAAGACTGTCCGAAAGGTCATTTGACAAAGGATCAATTTATCAAGGTTTATAAAGATTTCTTTCCGTCTGGAAGTGCCGAAGGATTCTGTGAACATGTGTTTCGAACATTTGATACTGATAACAGTGGTTTTATTGATTTCAAAGAATTCTTATTAGCAATAAATGTAACAAGTTCTGGTACTCCAGAACAAAAACTTGAATGGGCTTTCAGAATGTATGATATTGATGGTAATGGCACGATTGATGAGAAAGAAATGATAAAAATTATAGAGGTTTGTTTTTTATAGTTTTTAAAAATAATGATTTATAATAATTTCAGTATTGTTTGCAGTTAATTACATTTTCTGTTTCGCACAGCAATCAACTGATAATCGTAGCAATGAATGCCATAAATTTTTGTAATGTGAAATAATTCTTGATCTGATTCTTTTTTTAATAGCTAACTGCTCAAACATCTATTTATCGTCAAAAGCTGAAAATTATGAAATGCTTATTTTTTTGCTTTCAAATTATCTCTCTTTGAGATTATTTACTCCTTATACAGTAAGTTATTCAAAACGAAAAAGTAGTTTCGTCTGGTTACAAAAAATTTTTACTTTATAATTATTTTGTTGTGTAAATAGTAGTAGTCGTTTTGTCTAAACTTTGAGCACATATAGTTTTTATCTTCTGTTTACGTTTTTAGAATTTTACAATAAATGTTGCATGTCGAAAGTGTTTTCTTCAGAAGTGTGATTGAAAAATATTCACGTTAATTTAAAATAAATGACTTATTTTCGTTACCAGCAAGAAAAATACACTTTGAAAAGTGAGATTTATTTCAAACATTTTTAATTCATAGCAAATAACAAATGCATATATAATGGATGTAAGTATAAAAAGTATAAACAAAAGTCATTAAATTGATGGCACTTTATAATAGACAAAATATCAGTCAAGAATAAGTTATGTAATAAACATTAGACGAAATAGCATGTTTGGAAAACCTGAAGATGAACTTAATTACGAGACAAACTTTGATGCTTAAAAAAATGCACACTAAACTGTTACTGATTGAGTGCGAAGTGAGCAAAAAGGAATGTTTGTTGCACAAAAATTCAGTAAATGTTTTTGTAACAAATTCTGATTATTTAAAAAAATCAGTTTTTATTATTGTTTGTATTTATTTTTGCGTTCAAAAATATTGTGTGCATTTTATTTTCAAGTTCACGCCGTAAGCTTAGTTGTTAGTCAATCAAATGGGAATATTTTTTAGGCAATCTATGAGATGTTAGGGCCGGAAGTAACAAAATCTGCCGATGATTCACCTCAAAAACGAGCTAAAATGATTTTCGAAAAAATGGATGTCAATAATGATAAAGTTAGTTTATAATATAGTGAATTTTCTTATTTTTTTACTTTTTTCATTTTATTATTTTTTGATTGTGTGATTATTATACATTATGCTGTGTTTTAATAATTAACTCAAACTCCGACTGTAGTCACTAAAATTTACTAAGCTTATATGAATCAGTAAATTTTTGTACATAAATAAATTAATTAATTTTTCAAATTACAATTATTCCAGTCTTAATAAACGGAATCACTTACAAAGTAATTAGTAAGTTTTTGCTATCTATTTTCAGTTTTTCACTTGAAAGAAAGAACATCACAAAAGATTGCAATTTTTCTGGTGCTGGAAAAAAAATTCAAAAATTTAAATTTATGTTTGTTATAAAATTCGAAAAATATTGGTTTTAAAAATACTAGTTGTGCTTTTTCAAAAGCTGATATTTGTATATATTTAAGTAGTCTAAATGCGAAGTGTACTTCTTTCCAGTCTTTCCAAGCACTATTTTTGACTACCCTTGTATAGTGAGTAGCGAAATCAGTTGAAAATTTTCACGAATAATCAATGAAAAATTTAAGGGACTAAGTTATGATAGAGAATATATTTATAATATAATGGTTAGAACAAATTGATGATAAATGCGAATTAAGATTTTTCATGCGAAAAAATTGTACTCTTCCTCCAAGTATATATTATAAGAGTGTGTAGTTAATACTTGCACGTTTATTTTTTTAGCTGTAAATTTTGGAAGTAAAAAAAATTTCCACTTCATAATTTTAATTTTAGTAAACACTAAATCAATGAGTAAAGGATTAACTTATATTGAGCAGTACTGACTTTGTACATGCTTGAAGTTTATTTTGCAAACATGCAAATTAGCGCGATTTGTGAAACAGCAGAATTCTTTGCTTTGCTTACAAAATAAGTGAGGAAAAAATGTTGAAAAGAGTGAGCTTGTTTATTTTGTTTGAGAATATTTTGCTTTTTGGGAATTTTGGGAATATTTTGCTTGAAGAGTTTTCAATAAAAGGAAGTAGTGCAGAGTGATTCATAAGCATTAACATAGGATAACAAAATGAGATAAACATCAAAGCATTTCGAATTTAAAACGTATGTTACTCATTTCTGACTTTATTTAATTAATTTTTAATGAACTTAACGGGAAATAGTTGTAGATTTATTTCTATTTGGTCTATATGTTTAATTTTTGATCAGTGCGTTTATATGCTAATTTCGTGATACTGAACAAAACAAGTACGAATCACAAATAAAATTCACCAACTGACTTAATGAATGAATGACTTACTGACTGAGGAGAAGAATAAAATTTAATTTTCTGCATATATTTTCGGATGTGGTGCATATACTTGTTGAATTGTTTATTTCTTCCTTAAGAAGCATTCAAATGTGTTTTGCAAACTACGCACGAAGCAGTTTAAGATTTGAATGACATATTTTATGGATTGGTACTTTACTGACGAAGAAAATGCAAATGAAATTCTATGATTTCTAGTGGTGTTGACTGATTAATATTTAGTCATAACTTCAATCAAATTATCAGTTAAATCAGCTGAGTGTAAATTGGATTGGAAAAAAATAACTCACTTCTCTACTTGATTAGCATTTAACTACAATTTCTACCAACTTTTATGATTTTAAGTGAGAAATTTATCAATGTGCATGTTTTTTGGAACTTTTTTCAAAAAATTAATTGCAAGTTTGGTATAACATTAGTAATGATTTACAAAAAAGTTTTGAAGATAAAGTAAATGCATAGTGCAGTTAAGATACAGTTCATTGTACCGTATGTCCTAACATGTGGTGCACAGTGAAGTGAGAAAAATAAAATGTATAGCATTTTAAACATTCTAATTAAACTGCTCGACCTGTATTCCATAACTCTAAAAACGAGTATACAACAATATAATTTGCTCAATGCTGATGGTAGTATATAATGCATTATGAAGAGGTCATATGATCTCAAATATAAATAATAGACAATCATATTAAATTTGAAAAGAATTATCTTATTTGTTGTTTTTAGTTTATTATTTCAATTTATTTAAACATTCATGATTATTTGCTAGCGGAATAAGTCATAAATTTTCTACAAAGAACATAAGTGCTAATTGAAATTGAAGAAAGTGAACTTTGCATCTAGTCATTATAATATTGTCATGAAATGAAAATTCTTTATTTGTAAACATTCATGTTTAGATTAATTAGTTTTAGTAGTTATTGGTAATCAACTTATCTGGAGGTGTTGTTGAGCAAATTAGCATTGTAATATATTTTCTTGATAATGAAAGTTATTAATGGAAAGTAAGATGAAATGGAGAGTTGAAGGAAAAAATAACTAAATGTGTGCATCGATGGAATGCAAATTGTTGTATTACATAAATAAATAAGAAAATTTTGTGTACACTTGTATATTCTATATTATATGGATCACATTCGTGATCCAGTTTTAAGCTAATTTTTATGTTTCAATATAATTTTATTTTTATTTTGAGATGAAATTTTGCTTTTTGAAATAATTGTAAAAATAAAAAAAGTTATTTCAAATTGATAAATGACAGTTTATTGCTTAAAGTAAACAAAACAAAAATTATTCCAAAAATTTTTTAAAATCTCTCAAACGTGTCAAATTGTATATCCACTAATGGATGTAATAATTTTTGAAATGTAAGAATAGAGGCATCAACAGTAGTTAATGATTTGTCTCCTCTGTTATGCACATTTTGGACACAAAAATGCAAAAAAGTTAATTATAACAAATGACAAATAATTTTATATGCATTATTTAAAAAAAATTACAAATAAAAACTTATATCGTAAAATAGCTTCAATATTCCTGTACATATAAACATTAAATAATCATTACTGTATGGGTAAATTTATGTTTTCATCAAAATTTTTGTACCAAAAGAAACAAAAAAATTTCAGGAATTAACTCTGAAAGAATTTGTGGATGGCTGTTTGGCTGATAAAGAACTCTTCCAAATTTTGACTAACGAAGTGAAGAAGTAACAGCTTATAGTTTGGAATTTCGTTTGCATTAAGCAAATATTGTGAATGTTCTTGAAATAATCATTACTGCTATTTGCGATTATTCATTCCATCTACAATCCAAGGTTAGTAAGTTTGTGTGTGGGAGTGAGTATGTGTGTGTGTGTGTGTCTGTGTGTATGAGTTGGAGTTTATGTTTATTTTGCTTCTTATTCATTCATTATCATTATATAAGAGTGTTATATATTTGTCTGATTTTTTTGAATTGTTTTTAATGTGGTTAAAAAATATGCATTTTCGTCACGCAAAAAATATATATATATATATTTAATATCATATGGACGTCAATCTTTTTTTACGCTTTATTGATTCTGGCGCTGGACGGTAACGGTATCACGGCATCTGGTTGTACTTGTCCCGCGCTCAGATTTGTTGTGCTGATCTTTTATTGCTTATATATAAATAGTAATAGCAATAAAAGTAAGTAAAAGCTAAAGCCTCGGGATTGGTTTGCAAGTATTTGACATCCTCAAGTGCTACCATTAACATGTATTAGAAGAATCCTTTAAATGGGAATTGTACCAAGGATTTCTTTAGTTCTGGGGAAAGGTAAGATAAGTATATAGAATACTGATCTAAAGTGTGTATTAGAGGGAAATGAAGGTAGATAAGGATGTGATCACTAACTGTTGATAACATAGTTTCCGTTAATTGATGGCAATTATTTAGGAACTGAAAGTTATTCTTGAGTTTGACGCAGTTAGCTGTTATTATTATCACTGGTACAAAAGTAGATATGATTTTATTAACAAATCAAATTGCAAGTATTAACTCATCTCATATTTTTACTTGCATTGCATTTTGTATCTGTAAAATAAATACCAAAAGTATTGTTTGTAGTGACGAGAAGTGGCTAAAAAATGAGGTATAAGTATGTTGGCTGGTAAAAATTTGATAAAATTGATACCACACTTACGTATAATTTTCACATTACCTTCTTGCATTCTTAACTAAATGTATGTGTGTGTCTTTTTTCTATGCTAATGTGATAATATTATCCAGTGTATTGGAAACGTTTAAATTTTATGTATCATCAATGTTCACATGAAAACTCATTGAAGAATGTATTTTTTTCATTTCACATACAAGTATTACTTTTTTATGTTTTCAGAGCTTTTGTGATTGAAAATAATATTTACTTTTGGTAAGATTCATTTTGCAAGGGAGCTGTATGACTTTTTTTGTATTCTTGCATTTATTGCTGGATGAAATTTGTATTCAGAAGTGTATTTCTCATTGTAATGCTGTACTTTTGTCACATAAAGGAATGCTTTAAATTGCAGTGCATTTTCAAACTGTTGGCTAGCAGCTACAGCGAAGAATTTTTTCGACATTACACTCTACTTTAGGTGGTAAAATCATATGATAATGATTAGTTAGAAATTATTTGATGTTATGGATAAGGGAGTCAGCATTAGTAATGCATTAATATGGCGCAGCAAGTATTGTGCAGTGTAGAAAGTAGCTAGTTTACCATTTATGGTCTGATAGTGTTAGTGTTCTTATTAATTTCAGCTGTTTCATGTATTATTCAAATGTCTGACTAAGTCAGTCAACTTTTCATCTGTCTTGATGAGATATTGAAATAAGTTATACTGTGAAGGGTATCTTATTTATTGCAAACTTCTATCATGCAATGACAATCATTCCAAAATGTGAGAAAAAGCAGTAAAGCATTTTGATCAATGGAAATATTATGGTAGTAATGCTTGAAGTCAAAAAATAAGAGTACTAATGCAGTAATATCTAAATAATAGTACTAATATAAGAGTGAATTGCAATGATATATAAGTAATCAAATAAACTTCCATCTTACGATAAACGTTTTTTTTCCAAAAGTCTGTCCTTTCCTTTCGCTAATTTATGAGTTAGCTGAACCTGTAATAAAATTTTTATTGGCTTTAATTAACTTTCAGCATGCATAATTATTGTTTCACAGCACATCAAGTAACATAAACAACAACACTTAGTTATAATAAAGTCATCGAGAATGATAACCCGATAAATTTTAATAGTTTTTGTAAGCAGAAGCAGGCGTAATATATTTTCAAGATATATGCATGTAAAAGTGTAGAGTGTATAGAAATAAGTTTACTGTATGTATAGATCTATATATAATAAAATCATATCCAGAGTGTCAGAATGCTATCCAGCATCAGAATCAATAAAGTGATAAGGAAGATTAACCTTCAAATGGTTTGTATATATCTTAGTCGTTATCAAGAAAAAAATTAGATCAAAATATTATTTGATGCAGAATATAATTTGGAACGAAATATGCAACTGTGATCAGTAAAATTGGATATTGTAACTATGTTTATCTCTGAAGTTATTCTTCAGCTTATTGCATATATTTGTGAGATTATTTGAAATATATAAGCTATATCCAACATTTAATTAAAATAATAAAAAAAATTTGTGCTAAATAAGTGATAGATTTTTGATTAATCTCAATGTTTATTTATAATTCTGTGGAAGTGACTTTTCCAATAAAGAAAGAAAAAGAAAATTTTTCATATTCTTTTATTAGTTTTAGCATTATAATTTGGAAGTTAATTAGAAAATTTTTTGCCCGAATTGAAAATGATCTCAAATATAAGTAACAAGCAATTGTACTCTCAATATTAAGTTTTGAAAGTAATAAATTTTGTTTCGATAGATAATTTATCTTGCATATTTTGGTATTTGTTAGCAATTTTTGGTGTGAAAATTTTATTTTTTAAGCAATAATAAGTAAGACATCAAAAAACGTGTAGTCACATTTCAAGAATTAAACGATGAAAATTTCAAGTCTTCAAAATATTTCACTAATTTCTCTTCATTTATTCATTTTAGAAAAAAAATCAAATCAGTGCCTGAAAATTTGATTCAATTTTCAAATACTTACAATCAGAAAAGCTGTAAATATTTTAATTTATATGCCAAAAAAATTCTAATACTTAGGAATAATTTTCACTTCTCACTGAATAAAATAAAGTAGAAAAAATACTTTATTCTTCTCAAAAGAAGAATTAATGTTTTTATATTTTTCGCATATTTATAAGTTTTTGATGTCATATTTTTTAGCATATAATTTGAATTATTCCTCAGAGATTTTTGCAAGTTCTGAACAATTCGGAGAAGCATTATTTCCTGCTTCTAGTTTTTCAAAAATCTTTCACTCATTTGAGTCATCAATTTGACTTTCGTTATTCTCAGGAAAAAAAGAAACGTTTTCAGTTAGCCAAAAGAAGTTCACATTGTTTCTTCAAGCTACTTCTTTTTTTGCAAGTTTATTTATTTATAGAGAGCAGTGTTGATTACTCCCAGTTTCGTCTGCAAGAAGTTTCAAATTTCTTACATTCTGTGTGAAAACCAAAAATTATCAAAAATAAAACAATATCAGACTTCATTATCCTGCATTGATAAATTAAATGATTTAATTTTGCATCTTTAGGCTTTTAAAGAAAAAATTGCACATTTGTCAGTTATTACCAAAAATGGTCAATAAATTTGAAAAATTCATAGCGATCACTTCATATAGAAGACAAGCAATAAATATGTAAGGAAATGCATGCCTTATTTGGTTGGCTAAATGGGATTCAAAGATGTTTGCAATTTAAGACAAGAATTTTCATAACAATTGAAAGTATCGTTCTCCAACTATTTTCAAAAAGATGATTCCTAATACATATATTTATGCATATTTACATGATACATAACACGAACAAATTACTGATTAAAATATCCTAATTCCGATTTATTATTATTAGCAAGTAAAAAAAGTTCTGCACATATCGTGGATACTTATTCAAATCTAGTCAAGTACAAATACTTTGTGCACTCTTTCATTAGTCTTTAAACTATATCCGATAAATCTAACTAAAGTTTTCAATTTCACATCTTTCTTTCCAGAGGAAATTCACTCTAATTCATTTATTCTATTTGTTTCCAATCAAAACAATTTAATGGTTTGTGAGATGAAATGTTATGTTGATTTGTTTTCAAAAACTAGAAACAAATATTGCACACGAAAATTATGGATGTCTCAAAAATACTTCACTGCAATGCCTGTAAACATTACTCAACTATATTTTTAGAGACTACAACTTCGAACTTCGTTTGTATCAGTTTCAACTATAGAAGATATATATTTTAAGTTAAAGATTATGCAAAATTTTTTGACATTACAATTTATTAACGTAAATTTTTCAGATAATTAACATCCAAAATTGAACTTGTTTATTTTTGAAGGTTATGGAGGTTACAAAACAGTGAAAAATTATGTAGCCCATAATGATTCAAGCATTCATTATTCAAAAACTCTGTCACTTCTTGTCTTTCTACTTGCATAATTGATCGAGATTCAGATCAACAACAACATGTGTAACAGTACGTTCAGCAAAGCTAATACAACTGAAACTGGAAAATCATAACATCGCAATCATGATATCCTCATATTTAAGTGACTACATCAATTCATTTTCTTAAATCCAGAATATTTAGCAGTCAAATACAATTCATTTCACTACAATGTCCAATAATTTAATCAGAAACACTGCAATCATTTCTAAAACAAATTGGAATTAAATATAATACAGTGCAATTCATTTCAATAAATGTATTGTATCGCAATCGATTTCTGGTTTCAAAGTTTTCAAGCATACAGTATACTAAAACTTCCATGCAATGGCAGGAAAGTGTTAACAACGAAGCGAAAATGAAGTAACTTTTTCCCAGAAATCATCAACAACTACTAAAGTATAAAAATTCAACACTCTGAATAAATTTATCTTCTTGCGAGCGTCGAATAATTTCAAATCTCAAGATCCATTAACTAGTAATGTTATATTTATCAAACAGGCTTCTAACAAACCAAACAATCAGAAGTAAGTTTCCCTGCTATAATAATTTACAAATTAAGAAGATAATAGCAACATCTATTTCAACTGATAAGTTGACATCTACTCTTAATACCTTTTTCATGCAAAAAATCTCTATCTCCAATCATTTGTTTTTAATAAAATTAAAGAGTTTATCAATGATTCAAATTTTTATTGAATGAAATAATTTCGTGAGAAACTGAGAAAATCAAAGGAAAATTGGAAACGAGTGTTCATACAAAAATGACGCAACAGATCACATTTAACACAAGTAATCACTAGGCGTTTCAAAGAAGTAAGCATACAACCTATTTCACAGTTGCCTTAAAATGGAATAATTCCACACAAGAAAGTTAAAAAACTTCTTGAACAGCTCAAAACATTCAATGAATAGTTGAACATATACAGAGGATTAAATACTATAGTACAACTGTTCAAACAACTGCTGTTTAGTATTATCTTTTGTTTAAAAATGACTGTTGCTTTCTCTCAGTATTCCAACTTCATTTTTGATCATTTAAATAAATGATACTAAACTGAAAAATGTAAAAACGATCGAGTTTACTCATTACCTTTCACATAAAAGAGAAATAAAGTGATTTACGAATAATCAAAACATTTAAATGAATCAACTTATCACTTGTTGCCTACAAATTTTGTTTGATATCATTTTTTCGGTTTTGGTTTAAAATCCTCATCACATGCATGCAGAAAAATTTTGCTTCCGGCAGCTTGTGAATTAAATCCTTCATGTCCCTTAAAATTTCAACATTTAAAAAGAAGAAATAGATGAAACAATGAAAATCCTTAATGAAATGAAAGACTTTTATATAGATGAAAATGATATGGCACCAATCATTATTCCGCTACATTTTACGGAATAAATTACACTCAATGAAAAATATCAGGAAAAATCTTAAAAGAATATATAAATACACTGCATAATTAAAGAGAATACTCATACCTTACTCCAATCATAACCAATAGCATAAGCCATCATTTGTCCAGAATGATGCATGCAAGACCTCGTAATAGGCGCTGGTAAAGGATCTGATGTTTTCAACTTCGTTCGTGCATCTTTATCCCAAAATGATATTCGACCATCAGAACCAACCGTTGCTAACGTTCCATAATTTGGATGAAAAGTAATATCATTCACCTAAACTAGAAAATGTAATGAAGAATAAAGCTTGATTAAGATAATATAAAAGTGTACTTTCATACAGAATATTTCGCATCCCACTTGAAACTTCACTACTGCAATTTCCATCATACTTTATCAAAAAAAAAATGTACAAAAAGACAACAGAGAAACTGAAAAGACTAACAGCGTAAATTTCTTGAAAACCATTAACCAATTCTGGAGAGCGGTGACATTTAAAAGTGAAATTATCTTTAGGATTCGAAGATTCTACATACTGTATTGCTACTCGACCTTCAATTGAACCAAGAGCAAATCCGGTCGGTAATCCACTTGTTTTATCCTTGAAAATTGTAACACATCGGCTCTGAAAAAAATTACACTATCCCAGCATAAAACTAATATTTTCACCAAGATCAAACACGTTACCAAATTGAAAATTACTATCAGTACCATTTCACGATCAAATTTACTGCATAAAAACTAAAAGAAACAAAAAAAACAAAAAACACTGCAGCATACTTGGTACTTCAATGGAGTTTCAATATCCTTTACCTCACTTGGTTCGTTGTCTAATTTGTATATCTGTAATAAATTGAAATTTAAAATACACACCACGTATATATGGACTATTTTCATTACAAATATTTTGATTATAATAATAGCTGCACACACTTACCTTCATCCGCTTATTAGCCAGACCAACAATGGCCATGGGAAATAATACATCACCACAATGCACACGCTCCCCCAGTTGGACTGTGGCTAAAGATGTTTGTGTTGGTAATTGTCGCATATCCCAAAACCTGTAGCAGAAGAAAAATTTCAGAAAGTTTATTTTTTCTCAATAAGTGATAAGATACAAGAGTGAAAGCTAGATGCACGATACGGCAAAAGACCCTTTATTTGTATGAATTGATGAAAATTAAGATATGGTGAAAAAATAATAACCGTAAAGTCTTATCCCAAGAACCAGTCATTAAACAGCTGTAATTCGTTGCTTTTATCCAATGACACTTTCTAATAGGCTCGTCATGCTGCAAATCCACTCGATGTTTTGAACATTTTCTTCAATATGACTCATTATCAAAATTAATGCACATTAAATCCTATATATAACACACGAAAAAGTGTTGATAAACTGAAAGTTTTAGAAATGGGAGCTTCATGATAAAAACTTGCAGTTCCTACAACAGCCACTTGATTGGAAGCAAGATCCCAAACGCGTGCTTGTTTATCGGCACTAGCAATAAAAATTTTGGTGCCATCCTACAAAATTAAAGATGTGTATAAAACATTTCAACTTTAAATGAATATTTTCATTTACTATGAAGAAAAGAACCGTATTTAAATTTTATTGAATTAGAATAAAAAACTGTGAAAAATGAGAAAATTTGTCCGCAAAAGAAAACTAAATCTTGTGATGATCAGTTCCAAATTTCGCATGATCACGAGAAATTTTTTCAGCAGTCGTACAATGATACGCTTTTACATAAGTTATTACCGTGAGTAAGGAACAGCTAATACAATAGACATGACATTAGTTTAAGATTTAAAAAACTAAAATGGATATCATAACAGAAAAAACCCACCAAAAGAATTATTTTCTTTAAAAGAAAATGCACTCAATTCAGAAAATGATAAAACTACTCAAAATTACGGCATAAATCACTTAGAATATATTTTTATAATTAATGAATTCGACTCACATCAATCCAGTCAAGATCCAAAACTGGCCCAGGAAAATTTTGTTGTGCTTTTGCTTCACACTGACCATTCTCACTGATCTGCCATACACGAACCACTGAATCCCAGCTACCCGAAGCAAGCAGAACTGGTTGGCCGGGAAGTTTTGGATTAAATTTCAGTGCTTCGACTGTATCATCTGGAGGTGATGGGACCTCAAATTTGTATTTTCGTTGCACAGTTCAAAATGCTTTTAAAAATTGTTATGAATTATTTTCAGAATATATTTTTTCTTCCCAGAGCTGTTAACAGAATCAAAAGAAACAAACAAAGATAAAATCAAGACATGGCTTATCCAATATTTTTTCAAAAGGTGCAAGTTCCATCTATGCACAAAAGACTTAATTAAGAACTGATACTAGTCCCTTTTTACTCATGACCAACCGCAAAGTAATTAACTAACTTACTTCGATATCATTTAACTGATTCGAATTTGCAGTTGCAGGTGATGAAAATAGGCTACTTTGCCTTGTACCAAAAGTACTACTTGTTCCAAACATCAACACCAAAATGCACTAAAATATAATTCATAGCTTAAAAATGGTGTGACAAAAATTTAGCAAGCTTAATATCTGTGAAATATTAGTGAGAAAAAAAAAGAAATTATACATATAGTCGTTTTCCAACAAGAAAAAGTCTCAGAACAGCTTGTAATTCATAATTTATTTCAATCAGCAGAGATAATGAACAAGTCATTTCTACTCAGTAGAACTTGGAAACATTTAGTTCAACAATAATTAGCTTTGGGTACACAAACACTACTTTATGAATGAATTTGGAAAAGCAAACATTTTTGAGAGATCCACCTCTTACTGCTGACAGTTCATGAAAAAAGAAGGTATTGTACACAAGCAAGAAACAGATAACACATGTTGAGCAGAAATCAAAAATGATATGGAATGATTCAAATACAAGTTACAACTATGTGGTAAAAAACTCTAAAAAGCAAGTGCCAAAAAATTGATATTTATATAAGTGCAACAATAAAAGAATGAAGAGTAGAGAGGCAAATGATATGAAAGAAAATTTTCTGAAAAATAATCACTCTACTTTAGGCAAAACAATTCCTGGAGGTAAAAAAGCTCATTAATGTGTGATGTGTGCAACAAGTTTTAAATTGGATCAACAGGAAATCATAAATGAGAAGAATCTAAAATATATATCCAAAAACAACAAAATTTTTCTAGAAAATCCAATAGAACAATTAGAGATGATTGAATTTGTTTTGATATTAATGAATAAAAAGCTTAGTATAAGCCAATAGCAAAGAAAAAACTAGCATGAACATTGACAACTTCGTAATTTGAACATCAAAAGTAAGTCGAAAAAATCTAATAAAAACAAACGTTACAGATAAATATTTGATTAGATGAATAATTTCGGATGATTTCTGGAACCCATTTGAAAATTAATTCAAAAAACGTACTATAAAAGCAAACTTACATCACCTTTCTCTTCTATATTCATTAAAATTGTAAACAAACTTATCCGTCTCGATGGAAAATTTAACAAATTGAAGTTAATTTTTAGAAATGGAAAAACCTAAAGTAAAAGTCGTCTGAAACACATTGCATTCGAGTCAAGAGTATTCGAACAGAAAAGAAAGATATCACTGAAATATCGCTTTTGACTGACTTAGTTCAAAAATAAAATGCATGCAAGACGTGAAAAGTATAGAAAAAAATTTTTTAAAGTACTTGATTATAAACATTTAAGTGTGTGCTATCTCCTGAAAATGAATGGTACAAATTTCTCTTCAAATCATTTTCGATATATCTTATAATGTTTTGAAATAAATGTCTACACATTTTTTCTGACAGTAGATTGAATAAAATTGGTGACAAAAATTTAATGAGAACAAACGATAGGTAGTAGTACAATCTATGAAATTAACCGGTAAATATAATATACTGCAAAGGCAACTGCAACTGTTGCACATGCATATCCGATGCCAGGACTACCAAACGCCATACGACGCCAATTTTTGTGTGATTTATCACATTTTAACAGACGTTGACGCATCTCTTCTATGCGCTGTTTCCTGAATCACTATAATAAAATCTTTCTTGAATAATACATAAAAGTACATAAGATAGTAAGTGCATAGAAATTAAAGTGATGTAAACAATTTTAGAATTCCAATTTATTTCACGTCGCTGAAAAATTTTTAAAGCGTATAAAAAGGCGATAAAGAATTATGGCCAGTATTACCTTAAATTCATGTTCATATACATTCTAAATTCATATTTCATTGATCATAATTTTATATGAAATGAATTTAAAGTCACCTTCTTGCTTGTTTTGCTTCTTTTTCCAAATCAGAAGCATCAGCAGATGTTCTTTTTCTAGCGGATGAGTCTCCACAAAGATTTGCATGCGAATCTATAGGAATCTCGTTTTTTTGAATTACAAAGTCTTCAACTTTTTGAGAGACACAGTTGGTCGATGCAGAGAAAAGATTCTTTTCAATATTACCATTTACTGACTTCTCAACATATGACTTTTTCTTGGAGAACAACTCTTGCTTTATTGCATCGACAATAGTTTTCCAACAAAACTGTAATTGCTGCGGTGTTTGAATTAATCCCATTCTTGATTTTCTCATTTCCACTATCATATCTATCACATCAATTTTCTCCACATTTTGTTCAACCTAAATACTTATAATACATTTTCAAGCACATAGAAAAAAAACATGAACATACTCTAGAATGACCTCCAACATGAAAAAACTGATAGCAATTTAGAGAGATGAAGAAGTGACATACCATTGATAAAACTGAATCAGCAACTACAAACGTCCCACTACGTCCAATACCTGCTGAACAGTGTACAACAGTAGGAGTTTTTTCCAACAAAAGATTAGTATCACGTATTTTTTGCAAGAAATCAATAAACACGAAAGTTGAATTGGGAACACCTGAAATTACAGATAATTCTATTAAACTTCATCTAAACAAATTATTTCTTCCCAATAACATGAATTGTATAAATTTATGTTTATATTACCAAAGTCTGGCCAACTTATAAACTGAAAATGCTTGACTGGGCGCGACCATGACTCAGATGATGTGTTGTTCAACAATTCATTTTTTTTGCACAAAAGTTCCATGTCTCGAATCACGTAATGGTCAAAATTTTGTTCATCTTTCAGAACAACATTAAAGGAGTCGAATTCACGCACTCGACTGTTCAGAGATGGAAAATAATCATGACATCTAAATATAAGCAGTATTATTAAAGCTGCAAATTTAAATTCATCCAATTTTTTTGAAATTGAATGGACTATCTATATTTTAGATAACGAAGGATCATGAAAAACAAAACATACTTCGGCACACCTTTTTCTACTAGCCTATTTAGCATGATTATAAGTGTACTACTCTGTTCCCATACCATTTGCCAAAAATCGTTGCTAGTCGTTGAGAGAGGTCCCTAAAAGAGAAAGACAGAACATTTTTGAGAAAAGTGAGGAAAACTACAATCAAAACACTGGTATATACTAACCTGTGTCAAAATGTAGTTACGTTTTGCAGATGGAACAAGTAATGATGAAGCATTAATATAATCTGAATCCTCATTACTCTTTCCTTTCAACACAACACGGGTAGAGTCGTCTAGAAATAATAGTAAAAATACTAAAAAATCATCAAAAATAGTGTTAAGAAAACAGATAATTTATATTAATAATGTGGTATGAAAACGAATCAATAATAGAATATTAGGAAAATGTATTGATTTATATTATTCAACTAGCTCAAGTAAACCAAAATAAAACCACTTTCATACTCTATTCTCAAATTTTGTTACTTTTAACAGTGAAAGGTGCGAGATGTTTGTCATAATTTGAAAAGAAATGAATAACAAACAAGCTAAAACATTTCGATAACGATTGCGTTCGCTATTTTCCCAAGAATGCGCTATTTCTGTGGTAAGTTTTAATTCCTCTTCTTGTTTACATGATTGCCTATCTATTTCCTGTAAGCATATCAACAGTAAAATAACAAAATTACTAATTATTTATCTTTTTCTAAAAATCAAGGCATATGACATGACTTATGAGTCAAAAGTTTTTTAAATAAATAAATAAACATGTGAAATTATAAATTTGAAGAGTAATACTTGATAAACGGTGTTCCAAGCCTGGTTATCATGAATTTCTTCATACATCTCTACAAGATGTTCCATGGCCGTCATGCTCTTATCTATGTGCGCCTTTATAAATAATATTAATGAGGAAAATTTTGCATATAAAACATATTCTTAGTAAAAATATTGAAATGCTAGAAATAAGCTTGAAAAATAATTGAAATGTTTTAAATGAGAACAAACGAACCAATCAATAAACGCTAGTACCTCAAAGTATAATGTAATGTTAGACTGTGAAACTAAATAAAAATTAATTCATGCAAATAGTTAGTAAAATAGACTCATAAACATCATTTCTAACAAATTAATATTGAAAAAGATCTTTAGCAATAAATATCGAAACCCTAACACTAATCATATTTGCACACTTTGCTAAAATACTCTATCTTTATATAAATAAAATACACAATATAATTTTAAAAAGTCATACTGCTCATCTAAATATAAGTTCTGATGGAATTTACCAATAATGACGAGCACCGATTACTTAACTTATTACGTGAAATTATGAATGCAAGCGAATTTAGCAGTGTTGCAAGTGGTATTTTACGGCTCATCCCTTATCTGTCAAAAGTTGGGAGCATAGTGTATGTTTTGATAATAGAGATGGTTGTTTCATTCTTCTGTAATAATTAGTGGAAGAAAAAAAGCAATAGCAATGTTTTATTTTTAATTATTTTTCTAAATATAATGGCAAATTTTAGATAGTATTTTGAAAATGCATTCTCTTTCTTTGCGTAAAGTATTTGAGGGCATCGATTTCTTAAAATTTATTGAAAATATTCAATTATTTATTATTTACTTTAGAACAGTTTTTCTTTTGGATAAAACATCATAATTTTGGAACGGTTTTATTGTAGAACGGTTTCTTGGAATGAAAAATCATAATTAATAAGTTTTTGCTAATTTGTAGATATTATCGTGTAAAACAAAATAAACTCATGTATTTCTGCATAAAATAAATTTTATTCGTTGAATTTAGTAAATTCTGGAAGCGCAGTTCGTTATCTTCAAGTAATTCAACTTTTTAGGTGCAAAATATTGCAGCTACAATTATATACTGGGAAGAAAACCTTCTTGCGCCATTTAAGTGAGTTTTGAATTTCATGAAACTTTTTATACTGTCTTTCTCGTTTATCTTATAATTACATAATGAGAATAAGATGCAATAATAACCGGCGTTGAATAAAATAATGCAAGAAAAAAATGCAGAAATACAGAAAATATTTTTATTTCTTGAATTCAATAAAATTAAGAGCAAAATGGAAGCTTTCATTCAAGAGTATTTTTAATATAGCTGTCAGTTATTACTGTCATTATGTTATGATTCTTGTGTCATGACTTTTTTTTAAATTAATTACTGTATATTGAAAACGTTATTGATAATTTTCAGCGTTAATTTTGGTTACTTTGTGTGTATCATAAAAATTTTTGTTGGAGACAAAGTTTCGGGAGTTAGCTAAGAGTAAGATTTTGAGGTTGTTGTTTTTTTCCAGTTCGTACATGCTGGTGGCGATCTAGTTATGTTGCAGTTTTCTGATGTAAAAGTTTGCACAAACTTAAACTTTAGCCTGAATGTTTTTTGGTTCTACATGTGTAGTAGAATCTTGTGTTCTATTTTTATAACTTAAATTGCAGAATATTGCATGAAATGGTAAAAAAATCGGAAGACGAACTTAATGAAACACTAGATCGATGTTTAGCAGATACAGCGCTGAAGATAGTTGGTGCTGGAACTATTGGCTTAATAGTTGGCATAGTATGTAAGAGGCAATTCCCTGTTTGGTTAGGTATTGGTACAGGTTTTGGTATGGGTATTGCAAACTGCCGTCACGATATGAAACGAGTATTCTTGCATTCAAAACAAGAGACAGAGCAGTCAAAATTCACAGTAATCGAAGAAGCCGGTCATACTGAAATTGGAGTTCAGCCTTCTTGATTAATTTTAGAATCGAAATTTACTTTAATGATTTCTTCTTTCTCCCGTTTTGTTTTTGTTGTGGTTAGAATTTTTTACTCTAAATGTAAAATGAATATATTCAAAATTGCTGTAGAAAATTAATGAATTACAGTGTCTCAGTAATCCACGAAAAAAAACCTCGAGATAACTTGTGATTTCAGTATGTGTTATCATATTTGTCGTATTTATTTAGTGCTAGTTCAAATTATGCCTGACTTATTTACTACTTTTTTTTACTGTTTTGAACCGATGAGTTTTGAATGTTAATAAATGAATGAAATGAAATTTTCGGTGTGAAATATGTCTCACTATTATATGAAAACAACACGGCGTTTTGTTCAAAAATGTGTTAAATTGCTCACATAATTTTTAGCCAATTATGCAGTCGGATTACTTGTTTGGGAGTGTTTAATTGCGCAACTTTTTGAGATTTTGTTTCAGTTTTTGGTGGTTTTACTAAGTAATCATTTTGAAAGTGATTTAAGTGAAGAATGTATATAAAACTAAGCTTTATAATTAGAGAGTGGTATAAAATGTTAAATACCAAATAATTTTTGTCAATTTGCTCTTAGGTGTTATATCAATCTTTTCGCAGCTTTTAATATCAGTGTGTTATTCCAATGGATGAGAAAAGGATCGACTGCCTCGACTTACTAGCATTTCAGGTGAATTCAAGTACTTTATTTTGATCACACTAACTTCTGTATTTTTAGTGGTTTAGCAGTTATAAAAATAAATGAAGTAAATATTTCATCTTCTGATTATTTTATTTTAACAATAAAGAGAGCTTTATAATGAGGCAAATAAGTTTCTCTTGGCGACATGAGAAATGATTCTAATTTTACAGCCGAAGTAACAGACAGAACTAGATGGAAAAATATTGTCACAAAAAATGAGACTGTAATAAACTTACGATCAAAGTGATCTAATGTCTACATGAAGACAATATGAAGAACATTTTTCTCTACAGGATATGCTAAATAAGTTACGACAAATTGATGATAAAATATTGTTCGAACTAAATACTGCATTGCCAAGCAAATCATTTTCGGCTAATATCGACAAAGGAGAAAAGTGTCGTTCTGTTTATGAGCAGGTGAATTGACTTCTAATTTGTTTTTATACAATGCTGGATTCTGTTAAGCGAAAACTTAGCGTTATAACGAACTATGTAATTTTGTATTTTCAAAAAATATTAACCACTAATTTTTTCAGAAAATATTAAATCTCTATAACAGTCTTAGTAACTGTAGATATTATACTAGTTGTTATTGTTAATTAAAACATGTTACTCACTTTTACTTTACAGATACAGCATCAGTTTTTATTTTAACTATCTCGTCGTCTCTGCATCAAATGAAAAATCTTGTCATGCAAGTGTGCTTCAACGGTCGCATTTGTAGTACTTGTCAAAAATAACAATTCCATTAGTTTGCTATTGAAAACTGTGAAATAAATTTTCAAATATCAGTCTAAATTGAAAAAGCCCAGTTTAATTTATATTTTAATAGCTGCATATATGTACATCTTAAGAATTTATAGATTAGATCGGTGGCTAAGGACTTCTTCACACATGTGTGGATATTTCATATTATTAAGTATATAGACTATCTTGTATCACATTTGCAGTACTTTCATAAATAACAATTTCAATAGTTTATGAATAGTTGAAGCAAAAAAATTACTTATTTCAGTTGATAACTATGAGGGCGCGAAGAATGGATTTAATACAGCGTTGCATAGATGAAAACCAAGACAATATTAATTATCTGAGAGAAAAGAAAGCGCCTTTGGGAAATATTCGAAATGCTCAAAATACTGTAAGCAATTGTTTTTGAACACTTCTTCATTAGAACATTTGTTTTTGAATCTCTGAGAATCAGGATAAAGATGAATTTTTTGTTGTTGAAGTAAAAACTTTTCACTTACATTTTTTGTAGCTGCGAGTAATTCGATCAGAAATGGATATAGAAAACATTGTTAATGAGCGAAGTCAAAAAGCTGTGCATGATCGGTGTAGGAATTTTTTGTAACTCTCAAGTCTTTCACGTTGGTTACGTTATTTTGTTACATCTAGGGATTTTTCGTTATAATATTGTATTATGAATCAAATTTCGGTCAGCAGTGTTGGTTTATGATAGTGAGTGATGACTAGTTGAGCCGGAATTAGTAGAGGAACTTGCATTCATTCCCAAATTTTGCGTATAGAAAACTGTTGGATCTTTTTTGATGAAGAATTATCAAGCATGAAAATTTGATATACAGTTTTTGACAATGCATTTGTACACCAAAAAAGTTATTGAAGTATAAGTCAATTTTTTCAAAACGTCAATGCCAATTACAAACAAAGCCATACAAAATGAATATTTAAAAAGTCACCATTAAGACGGCGCTAATATACGTGCTACGAACCACAAAATATTTGAAAATAGGACTTTATAACAATACATCCCACCAACCCGTAAGTACAAACATATTTTCACACATGCGACTTTATGTCCATTGGTAATTATTCACAGATGGAAGTGATGGAAGAGCAAAACTTGCTTCCAGCTGTCGCTGATGGTCAGCAATAAACTGTAGTTTCTGAGCTAGTAATGATGAACGCATTTCGGCTGTTCTGACTAGTGACCTAGCACTTTTCAAATCGCAAGAAACGTAAATAATTTGCAGTGTAAGGTTGTGCGCAGCTGCGCCTGCTTTAATTGCACTCTGTTCCCAGTCTTCAGTAGGCCATCGACGAGTAGTTGTTTGAGCATCTGCTCTGTAAATTTTATGAAAGTTGAGCTGAACAAATCATGTCTATTTCATCGCATCAGAACTTGCTAGTATAAAGTGTGATAACAATCTATGTTTGTGAAAGTTCTATTATCCATTTTTGGCTTTACGGGTTAACTTAAATAAATATGGCCACTAATTTTTCAATAACCTTATGAATCGTCGATGCTGCTCTTCAGAAAAGACTACGGGACCGACACTATCGTCTTCTTTTCCTTCTACTTTTTGCCGTTTAGTTCTCAACAATGGCTGGGTACTATCACGTGGTTTTGTTTTATTTTTCACATCACCATTGTTGCCTGATGCTACAGAAGCTGTCGAGTTTGGCATGTACACTCCTACTGCATTAGAACTCGGCGCGATACGGGCTCCAGCTACAGCAATATTTTTTATCACTTTGTTTAATTGCTAACGATATTAATTTCGTCGAAACAAATTGCTTTCGGTGTTCAAAATTGAAGACCCAAAATTGAAAAGATTTTTACTATTACAGAAAGCCACAAAACTAGTGTATGAAGATAAAAAGAATACTACTGTGGATGATAAAAGTCTAAGGCAAAAAAACAAACAAAACTTATTTCTATGGATCAATAACTAAACAATAACCAAATGGATACTTGGTCGTAATGAATAGCTATTATTACCTTCAAACTGTAATCTTTATTAAATATAATGAAAGTTATAAACAGAACTCTGGTAATTCAGAAATTGGTGCAAATACTAGCATTCTTCCACAATATAAACTTTAGATTGCTTTACACTCCGCAATTTTGACAAATATAGGATACTTAGCCACAAAAATTATAAGAGTGTTTGGCTAAAAAGTGAATGAAAAAATAGACAAAAAACTAACAAGCAGATGAGATTGGACTTTGGTTTGCAGCATTTTCCGTTAAATACTTTTCATATTCTCGCCATTCCGGAGGTTTTTCCCACTGTGATACCTCTGTTTCTCGATTGTAGAAGTACCGTTTTCCCGCTGAGCTGTACTGCTCCGTCCAGGGTCCAAATTCCTTCAATCGCGCATTTGATGATGTTGTTGACTGACGATCCTTAATTCTTAATTGTATTCATCCAAGCTATACTAATACTATAAACAGCATTTGATTCATAGATTAAACTGATATAATTTATCAAATTTAACACTAACAGACAAAGCTTAAAACAAAATGCATGCAATAATCCTATATTCAGAATAAAATTTCAGGCAAAAAATGTTGAAGCTAATGTAGAAAAACACTTTAAAATGTATTGAAAAATGATATCTTAACAAACCATGATTGTATGATCTGACTTAACGCTAGTCAACAGCAAATTGAGAAGTTTATATCTAATTTCTTTTTTAACAAATTTGATCAAATTGGCAGTCCATATTGTGTTACTGTTTCGTAGATCACAATGCAAACAAATATCCTACAATCTAACTACTAGACATTTGTGGTTCGAGTATTTAGTTTAAAAGAGAATAATTAACTTCATTAAATTTTGAATGAACCTGTTTAAACTTGATTTTCTTTTCGGTCAAATTTCTTTGCTTCTCTATATTAAACTCCTTGAAATAAATTTCTCATTTGATTGAAATTTCTGAGTTAAAATTTTTGATAATATAGTAATTAACTCAACTCAACATTTGAAACCGTTAAATTATTCAGTCATACGGAAACTAATCTTCCTTTTTGAATTATTTATACTTGAGCTGAATTTTGATCTGAGATCGTCAAAGAATATCATACTTAAAAGTAAAAATCAGAAAATAATTTCCGTTTAGGTTTAGATTATTACTTTTTATCTCTAATTACTTTTGAGTACAATTAAAGGCTACAAAGTAAAATAATACCGAAATTGTTTTCAGTTGCCCGATAATCATTCTGTCACGCCAAGTTTTTATTTATTTTCTTGCATTTTTATGGTAGTCATAAAATTTAGATTTTGGCTTAAAATTATAGAAATTTGTGATATACACAGAACTTGTCAAAATAGTAAAATATTCTCATGCATATTTCTTAGATTATTTTGAATAAATGTCTTATTGAAAAAAGGTAACTTTACACTTAAATTATTTTTTTCCGAAGTGAACTTTACGCTTAAATTTCAAAAAACTTACTTTTAATCGAACAAAATCAATCGAAAAAAATTAATTTAAGTGCGAAGCATTCAATGTTTAATTTCAGACCAATCTAACTAATGCTAGAAGCTGCCTGTTTGGTAAATTTGATACTGAAATAAACATTTGAAGTGAAGTTATTGAATAATTTTGAATTTAAATGTAAACTGTAACTTTCTTAATTGTATTTTATACACTGATTAATTGTAGAACTAATTATTTACTTATGAATGTGAGCAAAATATTTTGATTATATCCTTAATAGTAGCAAAAAATTTAGAAAAACAAGGAAATTTATAGTATTATTTAGATATAACTTTTGCTCTGGCCTAATTATCATTGAATAGTACCATGTCAGGGATAGTGATATTATCAGATGATGTTAACATAAAATTTAAAATGGTTATAACGCAGTAAAGTCGGCATCGCTTCATTTAAAATTTTCAATATTAATGCAGTTGCAACTCAGCCATTTATTCAGATGAATTTTAGCATATATATATATGCTTTGTTTGTGGTTTTGCAGTACTGAAGTCAAATCGAGTAAATTTTCCAAGTCAAAAAATTTGTTGTTTTACTTTTAATTTACATTTGCATAATAAATATTCAGTAATTTTTCGGTATACATTTTTGTGATTAGCCATTTGTGAATAATTTTCGTCATTAATTGCTGCCATAAAATAGCTTAATAATTTTTTCTTCCAATATAAAAATTTATTTCTTACGTTCAAAATAGTAAATAATTAAGTTTTCACAATAAAATTAGCAACGTTTTTTGGCAAGTAAGCTTTTTTGCTGTCACAAAAATATTTATAAAAATAGTAACAGTTATGCAATACTTTTTGCAGCATATATGTTGACAGTACATAAAAGTGAACTAAATTTGCATACTTATGTTTTTGCTAAATTAATAAAGTGATTATACTTATGAGCGGGAAAAAGCGATAATTTAGTTTAACATTAATGAATTTATCCGTTAAAATCAAGAAGAAACAAACTGGTTTCTTGTAAAATGTGTGTCACAGCAATTTAATCAATTTATTCATAATTATAAATTATTATTTGTCTGATAATAAGCAATACAAGAAATGATGGAGTTTTATCATTCATT